TTTGTACAATTGGTCAGCGCGTGACTCACCACTGACCACTTTCACTGTCCACGCATCATCTGTTTACATCTGTCCCTTCAATTAATATCATTCCTCATCATAATTTATATGCAAATCAACAGGTAAATTTAAGTGATAATATCTTGCTGACCCAAAGTCACCTGACCAAAGGGTCAACCTTTCCCTCCACTGGTCACTACAATTATTTAGCAAAATTTTACCGCCAAAAAAGTGAAACTTTTACAAATTTAAATGAAGAAATGAAAATTCAATTCCCAATCATTAATTTCACTTATTAACTGGTGTTAATTAAGTTTAACAATTAACTTTGACAGTTAACTTTTTATCCACTTGTAATCCAAAGTTTAATTAACATTTTCATCTCCTACAATTTCAAGGTAACAATTAATTGTCTATACTTTTTGATTGAATGAATTATCTGTACGTGATTTGAATTGTTACCTTAATTGTTACTTTGATTGTTACTAACTCTCAGACTATAATTTACCAAATTAATTGTTAATCAAATTTATCTTGGGAACCACAATCAATAGACCATAAATACTACAGTGATTTAAGTATCATTATCTTGATTAATTACAATTAGAAATCATTTTTTCCATAACCTTAGTTAACAATTAATTCATTATTAACAAACTGTTTACAAAGTTAATTATCATTTCAAATGAAATATCAATGATTATGATCACTGATTTTAATCATCATCAACAATTAACAGTTTGAATATTTGATTATCAGAGTTAACATTTAAATGATTAAATCTTTTACATTTGATTGTTGTTAATTGATTATGTCAATTTAGCTTTGTATTTACCTGTGGATTGAGTTAATTGTAATTAGTAATTTAATATTCAATTGTAAATGATAATCAAAGGTAAACAATTGTATCTATTGATTGTAAATTGTGATTATAAGTAAACCAATTGATGGACATTGACCATTGTCCAGTATGACATTTGATCATTTATCCTTTTTGATTGTTTTGTTTTTATCATTTATCTTATTTTTTCAAATAATATGTTAATCTTGTTGATACATCAATCGCTGGACATTGGTCATTTACACGGAAAAAAAAGATTGGACAACAAACAGAAACACAACACAAAAACTTGCAGTGGTCAGTTTACAGTTTTGTCTCAATGTCCAGTTGATATTTTATATAATAGAAAGAGAGAGAAAGAAACAAAAAGAGTTGAAGATGAAACTAAAAGATAATCAGTTGTCATTTCATTATCATCATCATCATCATCATCACAATTGTCACTCTTTATCATGGTCATTGTTGTTCATTGTATCAAATGACCATCGGAAAAAAATGACCATTCAACTTGACCCAGTTAAGTATTTACATATAATATCAATGGTCAAGAAAAAAAACTTGAAACGGATAAAAATCAAGAGTTTAAGTTAAACAAAAAAACGACTAATCAACTTTTACATTTGACCTTTTGGATAACTTAAATGTACACACTGACCACTACATTTGGACAATTAGGTTTGTGAAAAAGGCTTCGAGGTCAATACTTTGTAATGGTCATCGAAATGATAATTTATAAAAAAAATTGTTTTTTCTTTTTAATTTTCTTTTCATCTTCAATGTCCAGTTTTTTGTCCACACTCACACTTACTCAGAACACCTCACTGACCTCTGGTCAAGCTTAAGGTGAAATGATCAATCGTCTTGGGTGACGTTCTGTTTCCCTTGTTAATTAATTACTAAATCACGATTTACCTTTCAAATGAGTTAACAATTAAATCTCAATTTTGACAAATGATCCCAATTGATTAGCTATTACAATGAATCGATAATAAAACAATCAGTTGATTTTCATTTGTTTTTGGTTAACTTGTTATTCAATGATTAACATTTAGTGCCTTTGATATTATTTTAATGGTCAATTTGTTGAATGAAAAGAAATGGAAGTTTCTTTTTTTCTGACCATTGGTCATCTAGATTATTGTTCTTGTTGTTATAATGGCCACTGTAATTAGTAGCATAGAGATATTGGCCATACGAATTGCTTTGGAAAATTTGTTCTAATTTCGAGTCAATTATTACCAATGATTAGGTCTAGAAATGGCCTGCAGAGTTTACGAGTCGTGGTCAAGTAGATGGACGTTGGTCAGTTGTTAATGAAGAGATTCATTGAAAAAGGTAGAGATGGTCAAGAGGTCATAAAAATTATTACAATTCATTTAATCATTAGCATCATCATCATCTGATCTCAAACAGTGATAGACAAAGTGACCAAGGCCAAGGTCATTGACGATGACCACAGGTAGTTGAATACATATATAAAACTGACCAGTTAGAGGTAAAAGAAAGAGAAAAAGACAGAGACGAAACTTTCTCTTTCTAAATATGAAAGATGATAATTTGTTTCAGCAAGGAAATATGATGAATTACCAATGACCAGTGGTCAGTATTAAAAAAAATTCTACAATTTTTCCCTCTTTCTCTTTCTTTCTTTCTCTCTCTCTCTCTCTCTCTCACTCCAAACTAAATCATAATTCACTTTTCTTTCAGTTGTGTTGAACTGACCACAAGAAGGAGGTCAAGTTTATCTTAATTCATCTTCACTTTCATCTTTTCTCTTCCGTTTTCTTTCATCATCATCAATCCTTTTCTTACCCTTTCTCTCATCCTTATCTTTCTAATGGTCAAATGTCCATTTACTTTTCTTCTCTTCCTCATTACTGACCATTTACATCGTATCCACTTTCCTCCACCCACCGCCCACCACAACAACAACAACAACCTTTTTAAAAGCTAATTTGAAAACCTTCAAAAAGGTAAAAGATGATAAATGATAATATTATGATAACTTTACAATCCTTTAATATTTTTTTTCTCGTTGGTCATCATCACTGACCAACAGTAGCCCAACAATTGACCATTGACCATTCAAAATTAATATCTAATATGCTCAAGTCCATTCATTTTGGAGATGAAATTTTTGTTTTCTTATTATGATTAAATTCAATCACAATGGACAACAACAATAGAGAGAGATGGTCAACAATTGAATTAAGGTCAATTGTTTGTCGGTCAACCTTTTTATTATCATCTTAATGTTATTGATCTGACACCTTGACCCTTTGCCCACTGGCCGACAACATTTTCCCTTTTTCTATTGAAAAATCATTTCTACTCTCTAATTCAAATAGGATTAGTTGATTAACGAGATGATTATGATTAACTTATTATTGTTATCATTAAATCTGATTATTATCAACATGTTGTCACAACAATGATTATACTTATCAATTTGATTATTAACCATAACTAATAATATCAATTCAATTGGTCAACTTATTATTATTATTATTATATCAATGGAACAATTTAAATTTGAAAACTTTAATTGTCTCCAAATTAATCACATGTTAAATTGACCCTTTACTTTTTTTGTATAAGTAAATATATTCATATTTTCATACTGTCCACTACATTAGTGTCCACTGTGTGTTTATAAGCTAATGATGATTATTAGAGTGACTGACCATTGGGAATATAATGATAATAGAAATGGTCAAGCTAATGGTCATCGGTAAGAAAATGTTTTCTCGTCTTCAACGAAAACAATTATTACTTAATCAAGTTGATCAGTTGGTCAATAGTAAGCAAAAAAATATGATTAATTACTTGACCATTCAAATAGTTATTATGATGACCTTTACCCTTGAAAGACACAGGTAACATTGTAATTGTTTTTTTTTCTTGTGGCCTTTACACTGACCACAACAATTGAATAACAATTTACCTGGAAATTGATGTTTATCAATCAAAGGAAAATGTGGTAAACTGTTAAAAACTGATTCTAATCATTTGATAACAATAAAAAACGTTTTATTTTCCAGGTAAATTGTTAACTTTTTATCTGATTGTTAAACTTGATCACTTTATTATTTAATTGTGATTAACTCTCGTCTTAATCATCCTCACACAATTGTAACTATTATTATCCTTAGATCCTTATCTTTTCATATACTTTGATTGTTACCTGGATATAAATCAATGATTGGTGATCACTTTTCATATTATTACGGTGATTATGATTAACTTTATATTGGAGAGATTTAGAAACTGGATTAAGGTGTTTGGTGATTAACTGTAATCAACTTTTGTGTTCACAGATTAACATGATCATTAACACGACTCATTCATTAACAAGAAAGTGTAAATTGTTATTAAAGTTAATTAAAAGTTTAGGTTAACACTTTTAACTATCATTTAGTTTTACATTTAATTGTATCTTTGTTCATACATTTTATTGTTAGAAAAAGGTATCAACAGGTAACAGAGAAAGAGAGAGAGAGAGAAAGAGAGAGAATTAGAATGACCATGAGACTGACCAGTAGATGAGGAAGACAAGAAAGATGAAAGGTTAACAAAGTATCAACATGATTGATGAAGGTCAAGGTAAATGAGGAAAAGAAAAGGGTTAAAGGTGATTGAGATGAAGAGAAATTTTCTGAAAAATAACTCGAAAGGCGCTACTGTCTATGGTCAGTCTTATGTCCATTTCGATAGTCATTCTGATCTTTCCTCTTCCTCATCGTCGTCGTCGTCATTATCTATTATTATTATAACCTCATTTTTGGCCTAATTTTGGTCAATTTTTCTTTCATCAAGGTATCAATTATTATCAACGATAATTTTTACATATTTTTTCACCTTAATGTCCAGTTTATAAATGGCCATTAGGTATCTTCAGTATGATTATATAAATTTTAAGAAAAAATTGACCGTTGTATTGCCAATTGAAAATTGTTATAATCAATATCTTGACCATTAGTTTATTAACTGACCCTTGTTAATTTTGTTAACACTCTTGTAAATGGCTGATAATTTTTCCTTTGGTCAAGATTAAGATTAACTATCCCAATGGTCACTAATACACTTGATGATGATGATGAAGATGAAGATGATAATTAAACATTTAGTTACAGTTTAGTTTAGTTTAGTTTAGTTTATAAGGTTTTAATTAAAACTGAAATATAATTACAACAGTTTAGAAGGTGAAAACTTCTAGATAATCTTGTCATGATTATCTCTCGGAGTCGCCTTCTGGCTCTTTTGAATTATAATCCAATTGAATTAATATTATTTTCTTTGATTTGATTATACATTGTTATTATTTTATCAAATATTATTGTTATTAATTTAATTTTTGATGATGATTCCACCATTTTGATTGATTTGATTTGTTTTCCTTAATTGCGTCGCCATTTGACTTGGTATTTAATTGATTTGAGATCTTTGCCATTAGATAGAATTGACTTTTCCTTGATGGTTCGTCCTTTTATGACCTTTGTTGAGTTCACCATAATTCACAATTTAAATTTAACTCGATGTGTTGATTACATGATGTTCATAATTTACTTAGTTTTATTTGGTTAATATTTTTTGTTTTAATTTACTGATTTGAATTCATTTTCCTATTATTAATATTAATAATAATAGTAATTGTTGCTTTTCAGAATTAAATCAATTCTTAATTTTTTACTTACCTTTTACCTTTGTGACTTTCAGTTAACTAATTAACACTTTGTTTAAAAAACACACAATAAGTATGATGTTCACTATTTAAAAGGTAATTAACACTTAATAGGAAATAGATTTGATGTCCACTTTAACAATTAAAAAACCACATTGATCTACATGCTTTCCATTGTCCAGCGCATGTTTGATGTTCACTCATCAAAACCTGTCAGGTTAGTTAATTGTTTCAATTTCAACTGATGATCACTACTCATCTTCATGATGATCATCATAATCAACTTTTAAATTGTTAACAAACTGATAATCAGGAAGAGCAAAGTGATTAGATGATTTGAGAGACAAAAATTTGAAAAGATTTTCTTTTCGTTGTTTATCTTGTCCAGTAGCTGGTCAGTGAGTTTAGATAAGATGAGGATGAAGATGAAGATGAAGATGACCACTAGGACTACGAGAGCGATTACTAAGAAGTTACCTTTTGAATGACCATCGTATTAGTTAATTGGTCCTTTCCATCGGGTTATCATGATTAGTTAGAGATCGTTAAAATCGTTAACAATTATCTTAAGGGAAAACATGGTTAATCCATTAAGGAAATAAATTGTTCCTTTAATCATCAAACAACTAAATTGATCAACATTAATCAATTTCGTAAAATTGACCAATAGCAAATCAATACTTGACCAGGTCAAAAGTCAAAGTGAAATAATTTTCAAGGTCAAGATCAATTAAACCAAACAACAATTAAAATTACATCACAAAGCAAAAGAAATCAATTTATTGTTTCTCAATTTAAATAGCTCAATTACCTACCTGTTGGCTTAATTGTTACTCAATGTCTATTAATAGATGAGATTGAAAAGACTGACCATTAGGAAAAAGTCCCGCGAACTCAACTTACTGACCACAGGAAAGCTCAAAATATGATAAATTGTCCACTGACTTTGGTAACCTTTAACCCTCACAAACACATACAGGTAAACATAATTGTTTTTTTTACCTTTACTCGGCAAACACAATCATCGGTACACAATCAGGTAACAATTTAACAACAATCAACGTTTATCAATCAAAAACTGTGAAAAAAAACTGTGTGAGCAACTCAATCAATACAATCAAATGGTAACAAGTTAATTTAAGTCTCAATCATTACATAGGATTTTCTTGTTGTTAATCTTTACCTTCATCAATAACTAGAGCATCTCCTCATCTTCATCTTCATCTTCATCTTAATCATCATCAATGTAACATTTTAATTCACTATTTTTCAACTGATAACTTTTACCTTTGGTTTGTTATCCTTTTAATATCATTGTAGTTTAAGGAACCGTGAAAAAAATCCTATGGAAAAAAATACTTCGAACTCAATCAACTGTACTTAATTATTATCCAATCTCAGTTTGTATTAAAAATTCTGATAGTTGATTGCTTAAAGATTGTAATCAAGGTCTCTCATCATCAAATCTAATTTTCTAGATCATTTTTTACTCCGTGTAGCAATTAGTAAATTGTGTATCCGGAAACTTTGATTCGCGAATTTGCAAAATGTTATCAATACAATTTTCCATCATTGAATCAATTGCATCTCTATGAGATATTATGTAGATAATATGTAATTAGTTGATTAGTTGGATTTGGCTGAAGAATCTTTTGTTATCCAAGTTAATCATGACAAAGAGAAAAAGGAAATTTCCTAAATGACCTTAGGCTATTATTAGAAATGAAGGTAAAGCCTGGAAGCCGTAATGTGGTTTACTGGGTAACCTTTCAAACTTATTGACAGTTTCATGGGTTTATTAACCTTCTAGGAAGGAGGAAGATGAAAATGATGCTCATCATCATCATCTTCATGATGAGTTGATGATCAAGATGAAGATGATGAAGATGATGATGATAAGTAGCATGGATACTTTGATGATGATCCGTCAGCGGCAAATCAAATTGGTAAACTGTTATTCGTATTCTTGATTAGTTTTCATCTTTTAACCTCCATCACCTTTACAATTGCTTTTCTTAGGTAAATTTATTCAATCAAATTGACCTCAATTAACCTTTCCAAACAATTAAATTATTTTCCGATCATTAAATTATCAATGATACCGTTTTTCATGATCATCTTATTCCCGTTCATTTTTTACCTTTCCGACATCAACTTGAAATCTTCTTGTAACTTTTACTTGACCATTTACTTGGAGATCAACTGACCACCAATGAAGTAAACGAGTTGAGGTCAGTTTTTTTTTTCAAACTGAAAAAAAACAAGAAAAATTGTTAGATTATTATTACACATTGATCGTTTACGTGATTAACTTAATCATTGTAATCAACTGAATTGTTACAGTGGAAATTGATTATTTGAAAACTTCAATTATCTTGTTTGGAGTAAGTTATATGTGTGTAATTTTAAATTGTCACCGTCGCAATCAACTCATCACTAATAATCACCGATAATCAATTGTAACAATTTACTACTTGTGTTGGAAATTTGGGAAAGTGTTAATCATTACAAAGTAAATTAGGTTGGTCTCATCACGATTAAACCAGTTGAACACAATTAACCATCACTTTTAATGATAATCCTTTCCTAATATTTGTAACAATTACAATTGATTTAGTGTTGATCACAATTAACCTTGTCAAAGGAGATAGAGAGTTTGATTTAATAATTATAACAATAATCAGCACAATCAAGTTAACTATTTATTTTGAATGAAAATAAAAATTGACCGACAATTAATCAACAATCAAATCAATCGTTTACCATAAATATCCTTTAATTACATTAATTAATTTGTTTACATTGGTTGATTATATTTTGTCGGGAATCAGTGAATCAAATTTTTCATTTAGTCTTTTTAATTGTTCCATTAATTGTTTCTCCTGTTGATTAGTTAAATCTTGTCTTATACAACAATCACAGTGACGATTATTTTTACAATAAACTAATTGTTCCGGTAATTGTGATACACTTTTCATGACGAAAAAAGTTTTTGTATTACATTGAGTTCGGTAACACTCCTCATGGTAATTAACTTGATCATCGATTCGTTGGTTAATTGTTTCCATTGATTTTACCATGTAAACACTTAACGACACAATCAAGCTAATTGTTAACAGTTTGGTTAAATTAACATTTAGTAACATTATTATTTTCACCAAAATGAAAGCAAATCAATTCACAAAGTTAAACTAAATTAAATCAAACTCATTGGATGGTAACAATCAAATGATGATTTCTGATCATTTATTAACTATATTTAAACATAGTTAGTGAGTTGTTGTTGTTAATTGTGATGACGATGATTAACCTTGATCATCATCATTAACCTTAACAATTTTTGAAACAAAACAAAAATTAAATATATATAACAATTAAGAAAACTAAATCCAATTTCCAATCAATCAATTTGCATGTTTCCCCATCAAAATGAGTTTGATAGATGAGTTTAATTGCTGATTAATTAGTTAATCATCTTCATCATTATTATAAGAGAAAATGTATATTCTAGTTAATCAATTATTATTAGAATAATTTACTTAATTTCTATGAGAATTATAATTTTCTACCCAAGGAAAGTTTAGCAAAAACTTTGTCGTTGTTGATTAATTTATCGGGAAGGTTAATTACAATTGAAGGTATTTAAGATTTAATAGTTTACATTGATGTTTTCTTAGTTAATATTGTTTGTTTAATTGCCTCAAGTGTAGTATGATGATGATGATGATGATTAATTCAAAATTATTTTCATCAAGGTTTAATTTAGTTAAACGAGGAAGCTTGAAAACGGCTTACCTAAACCTTGATTGTTAATTGTAATTAAACCTTGATAAACCCTTTGAGAACTAATTGTAATACAAAAAAAAATTAAATGATTGCTTTTTACATGAGCAAAGTTTAATTGTTGATTATCACAATTAGATACAATTGGGAGAGAGAGAGAAACTAAATCAATGTTTCTTCGTTGTCTCCTTGTAGACTCGATATTTAGTTCGTAAATCTTTGTCTCGAGAATCTCCCGTTTCCAATGCTGATTTCAATTTGGAAACGTGCTTGAAATGTCGGCGTTTCTTGGTGAGAGCCTGAAAATGGAAGAGAAAGTGATTAGTTTAATTGTTGGATTAACAATCAAATGTTTAGAATTGTAACTAAATTGTTAACTTACTGTTGACATGACGACTTTCTTTTCTTTCCAAGATGATGTGTGAGTTTTGATTCGATCAACATTGTAAAAGGAATTACTGGTCAATCGTCCATCGTTATCGGCGAAAAAGAATCGCTCATATTTCAACAATGGATTGGAGACTTTACTTTTATTTGATTTAATTGATTTTAAATCAATTGGTTTTCTTTCACCACTAGATTCATAGATGGATTTCTTTTCGTCAATTGATTGGATTTCCTTTGATTTCTTTTTAGACTTTGATTTTTTTCCTTTGGAATCAGAATCAGAATCTTCTTTGCTGGAATCGACTTTTTCAATTGATTGTTTAGCTGATTCAAATTTTTTCTTCGATTTTTTGAAATTTTCATCATCGGTTTTAGTATCATGGGATTTGCTTCGTTTCTCTTTTATGGTACCAACTTCTGCGCTAATTTCTGGTATATCGGCTGCAGGTCGACCAAACATTGCGGTTAAACTGAAAGCTTGACCATCGTTTTGCTCATCATCGAAATCTTTTTTGAAAGTTTCACTAATTTCGTAAAATCTTTTCTTGCTGACCTCTGGTTTGTCCATTGGTTCATCTTCTTCCTCATTGGGTAATTGATAGGGTTCAAGTTTGTCAACTTTACGAATTTTAAATTTTTGTGATTCGGGTTTTGTTGGATCATAACGAGGAATAATGATTGATCTGGTCACTTGTTTCTCTTCAGGGTGTTTATATTTTCTCTTTAATGGTTTACCAAGTACTTCCTCGAGAATGTCCAAATCTTTTTCCTTCTCCTTGTTCAAATCATCTGAATCATCATCAGTTTTACGATCTCTATTGCCACCACGTTTAGGAAAACTGGAATCTTCGTCATCTTCAACAAACTTGTCATCAATTTTGAACCTTGGATCATGAGCGAATCGAGATTGAAGTTGAATTATTTTAGAATCTTTTGAGCTATTAAATCTTGATGAGGGAATATCCAATTTAAATGATTCGTTTTCATCGCCATCATCGTAATCATCGAATAGCTTTTTACTTGCAAGAGATGGTTCAGGTTCGGGCTCAGGTTTTTTCTGCTTTTTTGAAACTGGATTATCAAAAATTATCTTTTTATTAACTAATTTTCCAGATAAGGCACTTTTGATCAATTCCTTTGAAGCTTTTTCCTGTTCAAACTTTGAATCAAGAGCTGCTAATCGTTTGGCATCCGATCCTCTTGCTGGAGTGGGAAACTTGTATTTATTGAGAACAGGATCATTATCATAATCCTCCATTATATAAGAAATTATTAACTATTTAGAGGGAAAAATTATATATTATAAAGTCAAATTAGAAGATAGATTTAGGTTGGTAAGAGATGTAATTATGTGGGTCCAATCAATCAGTGTCAGAATCACTTTCAGAAGAGGAACTACTACTCGAATCGGAGGAATTATGATCACGTTTATAGAATAGAACGTTTAATTCAACTTGTTGACTTGATTCTTCTTCGGAGGATGAAGTAGTTTCCTCTGAACCCGATGAAGATGATGTAGTTGTATGAGTCGAGGCTGAATGGAAAGATGAACCTGAGGGTATGATTGAAGATGAGGCAGTAGATGTTGATGCTGCTGATGAACCCGAAGAAGAGGTTGACCCTTGAGAAGATGAAGTACAATCTTCTAGGCCTTTGTTTGCTTCAGCTTTAACCTTGGCAAGAAAATTTTGAATAGCAGGTAAAAGTTCACACTCAACCTTAGTAGTGTTTAATTCACGTTTTTGTCGCTTTCGGGAAGACGAGGGTTTGTTAACAACCAATAAAGAATCAGACAAAGTATTAGACCCAAATGACAAAAGATCTCGAGATCTACGGCTCACTGTAACAAAAAAGAAGATACAAAGAAAATCATCAACAATTCATATCATAATCAATAGATGAATAAAAATGTCTACTTACTAATTAAACAGCAATTAAATTTGATACAAATTTCAAAAATAAACCATGTGGTGGTTCAATAGGTAACTTATGATGAAAAGAATACAAATTCAATGACAATTACAAGATCTGGAGGAATAGAAAAGAACAGGAAAAATGTTTAACAATTTAATTTCTCGAAATAATCAACAAAACAGCAACAAAAATTGAGAACAATTTAATTTTGAAAATTTAATTTTCCAAAAACGTGTTTACAAAAATGAGACTTGAATCCAAATCTGAGGATCAGGATTCGAATCGAATGTTGAACTTTTATTCCTCTAGATGGCGACACTGATTTTCGTAAATCAGCTGGAAAAGTTGATTAATTTTCTTAATTATCTTTGTTAACTATTTCGTTTTGATTAAATTGTTGTGTTAATTTTTGTTTCTCTTTTATCGATTGATTCAAATTGTTACCATTAGTTTAAGAGGAATGGAGAATAAGTTTGAAGGAAAGTTGATTAGATTGTATGTTCATTAGTTGGTTAACTTTTCCATCTAAATCTTAATCAAGTTAATTGTTTTTTTCTTCTTTTGTTTTCTTTTTTTTTAAGTGATCAATTAATTTATTTTTTTCTTTCTCTTTGTTGATTGACATTATCTTTTCTGTCATCATTCATCATCACCTTTATCATCACGTAAACATTAACTACGTCAGAATATAAAATAGTTGACAAGAAAAGAGAGAGAGAGAGAAATGGGAGAGATTGAGAGAGTTAGTTAATCATTGGGGAAAAAAACTAACAATCAATTTTGATCAAAGGTCTTCAACCAACAAGTTGATCAATTACTATCTCAATTAAATTTCTAATTCATCTGTTTGATTGTTTAAAAAAAAAGAGAGAGAATTCAATCTAACTAATCCAATGGAATTTCAAAGTGATTCTATTTCAGTTTCTTCTTCAACTGGACTTGATGATTACAACGATTCCTTAATTAAGGTTAATTTCCTCGATGGATCAAGTGAAAATTTCCATGTTGCCTGGTTAAGAGACTCCTGCCGATGTTCACAGTGTGTTAGTTCATTGACCAAGGATAAGAAATTAAACCCAGCAGATATCGATTTGAAACAATTAAAGCCAACAGAAATTACCAATGATGGTGTTACCTTGAAAATCAATTGGATTGATGATTTATCCTCTTCTAATTATCACCAATCATGTTACAATTTATCTTGGCTACAACTATTTAAAGGAAAATTTGACGGTTTATCTGATTATCCTGCCGATGGTATTTATGGACCTGAGAAGATAATTCATACAATTGCATGGAATGTTGAAACAATTAAGCCAATTTGTGAGGTTCGATTCTCTTATGATCAATTGATGACAGATGAATCAACTCTCATGAATGTACTTAAAGGTTTACTCACCTATGGAATTGTTTTCATTTGTGATGCACCAACTGAAAAGGAGACAATATTAACAATTGCCCGGAGAATAGCCTATGAACGGACAACAGGCTATGGGTCAACATTTGATGTTGTCGCTAATCCAGATCCAAATGCTCATTTCAGTTATTCATCGGCTCCACTTGAATTACACACTGACCTTTGTTATCGTGAACGTGTACCAGGAATTCAATTACTTCATTGTATTCAATCAGCAGTCGAAGGTGGTGATTCCGTTTTCGCTGATGGACTTTATTGTGGTCAACAATTACAACTAAATGAACCTCATCTATTTGATATTCTAACCAAACCAGTAATATTTTCTTTCTATGATTCTCAACGGAGCATTTGGTTTCGTCAAAAGTGGCCTATCATTGTTACCGATGAAACAAATACTAAAACAATTAAGGAAGTTAATTTAAGCTATTTTTCCATGAGAGCTCCTTTATTACCTGCTAATCAGATGGATACTTTTTTCACTGCATTTCGTAAACTCTTTAATTATACAAGATCATCATGCAATAGATTAACACTTAAATTGCGAGAAGGTGAAGTGGCCATTTTCAATAATCGAAGGGTTTTCCATGGACGAGAAGGTTATCCACAGAATGAGCAACGATTCTTACAAGGATGTTACATGGATCTTGATGAAATTCAAGGTTTATACGAGAAATTATCAACCAAATCTAATCATTAACTGTGATTAAATTAATTTAACAAAAAAAGAAAGTTACATTTATATAAAATGAAGTAAAGAACAATCAATTTTGTTGTTTTACTTTTGGTTCTGAGAGCAAAAAAAACAACTTCATTTGTTTACAATTTTCCAATAGAGAAAAAATTTCCTTCCTGATAATTTAATTGATTCAGTTATCGATTTTGTGATGATTAATAAAATATATTTTTCACTTTGATCTTTTTACATGATACTTTTGATCAGGATCTTTTGATGCTTTTCGTTTCAATATCTTATCATATGCTTGAGTTTTCTTGAAATGTGAACTTGATTGATCAATATTATACAAATGAGAATTGTAAATTGCTTTGAAACGTGGATCATCCTCATCGAACTAATTAAAAGAGAAGAAAAGATTTAATTGTGATTAGAAGGGAAATTTGTAAACATTGGAATAAGTTCTTATTCTTACCTCGAAATTATCTTCTTCTTGTTGGGGTTTATCTTTTTTCTTCATTTTTCTTCTCGATTTTTTGTTCTCAACGAAATTTTCGTAATTAAAATGTTTCTTATCCTTTTTCTCATTGTCCATCACCAATAGAGCTAAATCATCAGCTCCTTGTTCATCTTTATCATCAGAATTATCTTCATCTGATTCATTGTTTTCATCGGATTGTTCAGATTCTTCATCTTGATTGTCATCATTTTCGGATTCATAATCTTCATTATTTTCTTCACTATTTTCCATGTCTTCGTCTGGTTCATTCTCTGAATCGTCAATTTCATTTTTACAAGTTTTCGTTTTAATCGAATTCTCTTTTCTTTTAACTTTTCTTTCGGCCATTTGCTTTTCGAAAACGGTCATTGATTCTTTCTGTTTTTTCTCTGCAATTTTCTTTCCGATATTTTCCAATTCAGGTTCCCATTTTATCTCCATGTCGATGTCTCCATCATCTTCAGCAGCTTCTTCCTCTTCAACGCTTTTCAACAGATCTTTATATTTACTAATACGATCTTGGACACTTTTACCCTGAAGGGAAACAGTTTCATCCTCATCATCAGATGCATTTTGATTAGAACCATAATTATCATCATTATCATCTTCTTCTTCTTCTTCTTCCTCTGATGATGATGAGGCAAGATAACAAGCTAAATCATCAGAGATTTTATCTCGTTCAGTGAATGCTTTTTGTAAAGTTTTAGCTCGCTTAGGGTCAGTCTCATCCCAGGTTAGATTGACCTTAGTTTGTTGTAAAGCGGTTGTGATAAAATTTGGCGGAATATAATCAATGAGAGAAGGCATCTCATTACAAATGGAATCGGGTTCATCTTCATCGAATGACATATCATCGGGAATAAATCGACAATCAAGTGTTGATGCACTACTTTCATATTCCATTCCGTCCAATTGGTCATATAAAGTTGCCGCTGTTTCCGGTTTGTCACATTCAACAACAGCGTAAAAATATTTCAATCGATTAATTTGATATTGTCTCAATTTTTCTGATACAAAAGGAGCATCAAGGTTAATTATTTCATCGGCATCTTGAACATTTGATGAGTATGGATCTTCCTCTTCATCGTCTAATTTAATATCGGTCAATTCTTTTGGTCCTTCAAGCTTTTCTTTTTCCATTCTTTCCTTGCCAAATTGTGAGGGATAAATTTTAACACTAACAATTTCACCTTCATTTGGTTTAAATGAATTTAAAAGTACAAAAAGATCAACGGCTTTCAACCGATCCCAATCAACATTGGTAATCGCAAATCGACAGGTTATTTCCTCAGTCCTTGGAACCTCTGATTCCACTTGACCAGCTTGTTCAGTTTCATCTTCTTCTTCCTCTTCTTCACTTGAACTTTCATCGCTAGAACTTGAATCTTCATCATTACCCTCACCACGTAATTTCCGACCAATATCACTAACACCAGGTTTCTCTCCATCCTCAGTTAACTCATAGAATCTTTTTAATCCATCATTCTTGGTATTTTGAACCTTTCGTCCTCTTTTATCAATCAATGGTTCACCATTAAATCGCTTATCAAACATCCCCTCAAAACGAGAATCAATTTTAATTTTTTTCTTTCGACTTGGTAACCGTTTAAACCGAGGATCAGTTAACACTTTTTTAAATCGATCATCCATCCCGTCTTCTTCTTCCATGTTAACCAATAGTTCCACCAAAGTATCACCAAAATTAAATTAATCACTTTAAACGAAAAAAACAAAAGCAAAACAATTAAAAAACCAAATTAATCAAAATAATTCAAATCAAAACAAAAAGACTTTAAATCCAAACACGTGAGTTTGGATTCGAATCCAAAGCGGATCCGATATTCTGTTTAGATACTCAACCTCATGGCGAAGACTTTGAAAACGTTGTTTCCGTTGATAATTAATTTTCTCTGTAATTACTGAATTAAATTTGATTGTTCTCTTTTAATTTTGTTAAACTATCATCCGTGAAGATGGGCAAAGTCAAATTAGATTCGAATGTGAAGAAAAAACTGGCTGTAAATGTCTCCAAAAACGACCGATCTGTGATTGCAGTTACTGGTTCATCTGCTCATCTTGTTGTTGCTTCAATCTACAGTCGATTAATTAAATTGACCAATAAATCATCATTATCGGTTCTATGGTTATGTAAACAAGTTCCAATATACTATGAAAGTGATTCGAAAAAATTATCCAAATTACATAAGCGACTTAAATCAGGAGATGCAAGTCTAACAGAGGAAGACATGTTTACCATTCTATTGGATAGAGTTGCGGTAAATTTTATCCACTACAAAGATGATTTTCCATTAATTAATCAATCTTATGATATTCTGGTGGTTGAAGATTTCTCCTGTTTAACACCCAACCAATTGGCCTACGCTTGTGAATGTATTCGATCCTCTGGGTGTATCATGTTTCTATTAAATACAATCAAAGATCTAAAGGAGCTCTACACACTTTCGATGAATTGTCATAAAATTTACGAAAATTGTTCTTCTAAAGTAAATTCTCTCTTCAATGAAAGATTCCTTCTTTCTCTCGTAACCTGTCCAACCTTTATCGCCATCGATGATAACCTGAAACTCGTACCATTGACCAATTTCAGCGAAGCAAAAGTTTCACCTGAAGAGGTGACCAACAACGACGAGAATGAGCTAAATGTCTTGAAAAATTCAACAATTGATACTCAACCTCTTGGATGTTTAGTTAATTGTTGTTCAACCCTAGACCAAGCAAAAGCTGTTGTTAAAATGGTTGAGATAATTTCCAGTAAAGAAAATCAAATGGCCTGTTTAATGGGACCTCGAGGACGAGGTAAATCATCCGCTCTTGGATTAGCAATTGTCGCAGCAATTAACTTAAATTTCTCGAATATATTTATCACCACAACTTCACTAGATGGTCTTGAGATAATCTTTCACTATATTCTAATGGGTCTTGAGCAAGCTGGTTACAAAGAAGGTGAAGATTATCAAATCCTTCGAACATCAAAAAGTTCACTTCTCACCTCATCATCTTCATCTCCATTAGCATCTCCATCTATCCTTTCCCCTGTTAACAGTAATGAAAAGATTATCACTCGAATCAATATCATTCGAACCTGTCGTCAATTTGTTCAATACATTTCTCCATATGAAGCATCACAAGATGAACTTTTCCGAAAATCGGTTCAACTATTGATCATCGACGAATCGGCTTCCATTCCTCTAGACCAGATACGATCACTTATCGGTCCACACATGATCTTTACCAGTATAACCAACAACGGATTTAAGGCCAGTGGACGAACTCATGTTACTAATTGTCTAAAAGAATTACGAAAAGAATCAAAAAATTTCTTCACCGAATTAACTCTTACCCAGCCAATTTTATTCTCAGCTAAAGATTCAGTTGAAAATTGGATAAATTCAGCGTTTTGTCTTGACTGGAATTGCGATGAAACCAAAGAGGCTTCCAAAGAAACACCAATCGGTTGTCCAGCTCCATCCGAGTGTCAATTGTTTTACATTAATCGAAACACTTTATTTAGTTACCATAAATCACCGGAAACACTATTACAAAAATTGATGCGTCTCTATTTCTCATCTGATTATATTGTAAACGCTAATGTTATCCAAGCGATGGCCGATTCACCGGATCACCATTTATTTTGCCTTCTACCACCGACAAGTCATAAATCTAAAATACCGGAAGTTTTATGTTTCATTTTCTTACGAATAGAAGATGAAGATTCCCCACTTAATTGGACTCATGATGCTAATTGTATCGACGGAGAATCATCAATCTCTAAACTAATTCAACAAGAGTATTTAAGCTCTAAACTGTTAACTCTTCATGGTGCTCGAGTCATCAGAATTGCGATCAATCCTAAATACGATATCGCTGAATATGGTTACGATCGTCGTGCCTTACAATTAGTTGAAGAATATTTTAAAGGAAATTTTAATATTAAACTAATTGAACAACAGGTAACACCAATTGAAAAGGTTTTCGAGAAAATTGGAATCAATATGTTGGACATTAGTCCTCGAGACGATTGTCAACCGTTATTTCTTAAACTTGAAGAGCGTCAAGCTGAAGTTTTAGATTACATTGTGGTCAATATTGGAATGACCCAAGGGTCACTTAAATTTTGGCGTCGAAATGGATACACACCGATCTACATAAATCCAGAATCAAATGAGACAACACGAGAACACGATTGTATCCTAATTAAATCGTTAATTCGAGAAGATGAAGTTGATGATGATGAACAAGAAGATGATTCAGAGAAAATTTCAAACAAAGAGAATCCAAATGAATGGTTAATTACTCTTTGGGAACAATTTAGAAATCGATTCATCTCTCTACTTCCATGTAGTTTTTACCATTTAAAATCTTTATTAGCAGTTGAAGTACTTCAAGAAAATGATTTTATCCGATCTCATATTAAACGGCAACAATTAACTAAGATTGAATTGGAAATGTATTTAACCCTTCACGATCTTAAACGGCTTGAGATATATACTAATTTTCGTGATGATTACCGACGTATAACTGATTTACTACCTCATTTGGCTAAATTTTTTTTCCTCCACAAATTTGATGAATCAATTCATTTATCACCGGCACAATTAATCATCTTACTTGGTGTTGGTCTTCAGGGTAAAACAATTGATGAGATGGGAGATGAAATTGGTTTACCAGGTAATCAAATATTGGCCCATTTCTTGAAGGCGGTGAAAAAATTTTCTACCTGGTTAAACACAATACAGGAAAAGGCAATAGAGGAAGCACTTGGCCTGGAGAAACAAAGTTTCGACGCCATTTATTCAATGAGACCAGTACCAGGTACTCTTGAAGATGAACTAGAAGATGCATCGGAAAGGATACAAAAGAAGAGGAAGAAAATCGCGAAAAAATGTCCAAAGAGATGAAACATCTCTCGAAATATGTAATCAAAGGAAGCGAAGATGATTGGGATCAAATGTTGATGGGAAAACACAAATCGATTGTCTCAATTAAATCGTAAGTTTAACTCGTAATTTGAGTAATTTAATTATTGATTCATTGATTCTAATTGTGACTTTGTTTTTTATTCTTGTATCGTTTTTAGAGTTCAACCGAAAAAACCGAAGGGCGAAATTGAACCATTAGAAAAATCGGATAAGCGGAAACAGAAATTCAAAAGAAAATTCAAATAATTTTTATTTACTATTAAACTAATTTGTCAAAATATATGAAGGAAAATGCGAATGATAAAAGCTGATTAATTGTAAACATTTCGGTTTCCATGTCGATTTGTCTTTTGTTTGACCTCAAAGTTTAATCTTTTCAATTCTTCGGATAGAAATTTGTTCTCGGTTTCAGCACGAATCAAATCTTCTTGCAACTCGACGATCTTTTTCTCAATCCATTTGGCCTGAGCTTTTTTCGCCTCACGACTTTTCCGAGCTGATTCATTATTCTTTTTCGCCGAGCCCAATATTCATCATTCTTTAATTCATCTGGCACCGGGTTTGCTTTCTTCTTCTTAGCGGGTGGATTATTTTCCGATTCAGAGACTTGAATCTCTTGAGATGAAGTATCCGAAGTGTCGGGAGTCGATGATAAAGCCAACAATGAGAGTGCAACATTCTGAAGCATCATCGATTGAGCCGGAATACTTTTCAACGGAAGCGGCTGATCGGCCATAAACTGCGGTGAATTTTCCATGGGAACATTTTGCTGTTCCATGTTGACCTTAACTGGTGTAACATTTAATTGCTGTTGCGGGAACTGTGGTGGTTGATTGTTGAACGATTTACTTGGTGAAGGTGATTGTTGAAGATCACTTATCCGTCTAGGATTAGACTTTTTCCGCCGTGACTTAGATGAATACGATGTCAATTCCAATGGAGATTCTGAATATTCCGGTTCAATAGGTTTCGAGTATGATGGCGACGATGAATACATACTAGCTACTTGAGCCAATGAATACATTGATGACATCATGTCATGAGAGGGCATTGATGTTGGCGGAGGATAAAAGGTCGGCGATGAATATGAAGATGAGGATGAAAACATGATGATGACTTTGAACACGGAGTAATTGCACTTGTAATTAGCTGGATGAATCTAAAGTGAGGTGATCATTTTGTCTCGTTATTATTTATACAAATTTCACTCTCACTCTCACTCTTACCCTTTTTCTGTCTCACTCATCATCCTCATCATCATCTTTCCCCTTTCGTCCTATTGGTCAGCCCATAATCTCTCATCATCTTCATCTTCTCTCTCACATACTCACTCATTTTCTCTCTCTCCCTCTCATCACAAACTGCAATTTCTTAGCCCTAAACCATTTAAAAAGAAAAGGGAAAATCTTAAGATTAAGATAATCTCTTTGGCTATTAATCCGCTAAACTTTTAAACTTGTTATACTCTAAACGCCAAAGGTTATAGAGAAAAATTGTTCTATTTGACCAGTGGTCAAGTCTTTTCCTCATAAACTTTTTTTTTCTTCTTAATTGTTGAAGAAAAAAACGTAAAAAACAATTGAAATTGACTCAACAATTAACTCACAATCTCTCACATTCTAGTTAATATTTACTCGATAGCTTTTTTTGTTGATCACTTATCTTATTTAACTTTTTAATTATCATTAATATTAAGTACTCACAAGATAATCAGTGCAATTAAAGCTTAAAATTATTTACTATTATTTGATTAATTACTTAATTTGAATAGTCTTTTGTTGTTGTTGTTGTTATTAATCATCAATCGATGCATCTTTTAATTGTTTGGTTAACAATTAAAAGGAAAAACTGAATTTCTCTTGCGCTAAATTAGCTACACAATTGCTTGAAGGCTAATTAACAATCAGCGTTTATCTTTAATCCAAAGATAAAATTAACTAGTGTATTTAAATTGTTGCTTTATACTAATTGATAAAAGGAGCCCAACAAAAAAAAAACAATAATTCACTAATTAGAAAGAGTAAAAAGTGTAAACAATTAATAGATGGATTCAATTTGTTTAATAGATTAGAAATTATCTAATCAAACAATCATTTTATTATTAATTAACAATGTCAATCAGGTTAATTGTGAGAATTAATTGTAAAAAAAATCATCGATTCAATTGGAAGAGGCAAAGAAATAATAAAAAATGAGCAACAATAAAACAGGAATACAAATGTTGAACCAAACATTTGATTGGCAATTAGCTGATTGTTTGCAATTAGATTGATTGGTCGTATTGACAATTAAATGGGGATCATTATCTTGGACAATTTTATCCTGTAACAATTTAGCTCCACACAAGACAATCGGAACTCCAGTCCCTGGTTGGGTCGATGCACCAACGAAATACAAATTATCAAATATCGGACTTTTCATGTCGGGTCGGAAACAAAGTACCTGAGGAATTGAATGGGACAGACCAAGAATTGAACCATTCCAAAGGTTGAACTTTTCTTTCCAAGTTCGAGGATCATTAACAATTTCGGTCTCAATATAAGAGGCGAAATTTTTGATCTTTAATTGCTTCTCAATTGTCTCAATGACCTGAGCTCGAGCTCTAGCAACTAGACCATCAAAATCAGCACCAGTTTCATTGGTCATACAACCGGTTGGAACCAAGATGACCATTGTATCCTTACCCTCGGGTGCAGCCGATCGGTCAAGTCTACTTGGCACATTAACATAAAAAGAGGCCTGAGTTGGTAATGTGTGACCTTTAAATATCTCATCAAACGAGGCCTTATAATTTTGCGCCAAGAAAACGTTATGAGCGGTAAATTGGTCAAGAATTTGATTTAATCCCCAATAAAATGAAATGGACGACGAGGTGTGATCTTTATAGCCCAATTTTGTACCATAAGAGGTCTTGGGTAACAAATGGTTATATGCAAAGACAAGATCGGCATTACAAATGACCAGGTCAGCGTTAACAACATCGCCGTTGGCCAATGTAATTCCGGTTACCTTTTGTTTACCATTTTCACCTTTGACCACGTTGATCTTATCAACCGGCTTCGAGTAATTAAACTTGACCCCATACTTATTTGTACCAATTTCAATCAGCTTTTGAACCACCTTGTTGAATCCACCCTTAGGGTACCAAATGCCCTCAGCGATCTCAGTGTATTGAAGTAAACTATAAGGTCCTGGGCTATCGTATGGTGACATGCTAGGAGAAAATATTAGCAAATAGAATCGATCAATTTAACTTAATTAACTTAATTTGATTGAATTAATTGTTCTTACCCCATGTACATTGATTGAAAGGTAAACGCTTTGATCATGTGGTCAGTTTTGAAATATTTGGTCGCTCGTCGATAAACAGTTGAATATAAATGCATAGAGAAAAGTTCAGGTAAATATTTGACTCGAATCAGGTCCCAAAATGAATCGTATCGGGTTTTCAAGGCCATTTTAACGGAACGTTCATAATGAACATGAGATTCTTTGAGAAAATCAAGGAATCGTAAGAGCGTTGATTCATTTGCACCTTCAAAAGTTTCCAATTGTCGGTAAACTGATTGAATATCAGTTGATAGTTCAATTGATTTACCATCATGAAAATGAACACGATAATTGATTGGACATTTAATCAACTCTAAATGATCACTGATCGATTCATCTAGATCATTAAATGTGTCCTCAAACATTTTCGGCATCAAATATAAAGACGGACCTTGGTCCCAACGATGACCATTTGAATGAATTAATGAACATCGACCACCACAAAAGTCGTTTTTCTCATAAACGCTCACTTTATAACCTAATCGACCCAATCGAGCGGCGATCGCTGATCCACCGACACCAGCACCGATAACGATAACTGATTTTCCAGAGCCTAAACCATTTGAATTATTATTACCATTCATGATTAGTTAATTATTAGCAATCAAAAGGAAATTAGAAAACACTAAATCAAAACTACTACGATGTTCAAACGTTAATACGAAAAGTAATGTAAATGTAATAACAATTTAAATCCTGTTGGAAGGTAGAAACAATCAACTAAGCAGAAACACTGAAGAGGCTTAATTGTGATCAATAACCAACTACAATTAAATATGTTCAACTTTAAGGCTTCGTATGAAAAATAAGAGATTCATGATAATCACTCACTCTCAATGTGGAAATAATTTTCCCTCCTCATCTCTTTCTCTCTCTGTCTAATTTTCCATCCTCATCATTCAACTTATCATCTTAATCATCGACATGATCATCATGATGATCATCATCTCCCTCTCTCAGTATCAAGTTCAATACTTTCATGTATATTTACAGAGACTAAGAATCAATGATGATAATCAAATGAAGACAAGGGGGTCGGAATGGTGATTTAGATAACGAATCATCATCATCAATGAGATTGTCTGAAAACAATTCAAATTCAAAGCATTGATTTGATTTTTTTGTACAAATTAAATGACAATTAACACCTACGCAAGTTTCAAATCAAAACTGATTACAAACGTGATCACATTTAATCAATAACAATTTAACTTGCGTCAACATGGTCTGGACTTACCTTGATGTCCACGTTTATTTTACTTTACCGTTTATTTTGATTGAGTATTTGATTTTACGTCCATTTTTAAATGTCCACGAATTTGTAAAACTATCGTTCATTTCTGCCTGTGCCCTCATCTACACGATTCCTTGGGACAATTATATCGTTTATCACGATGCTTGGTCATACCCGATTGACCGCGTTCTTGGTGTTATTGGTTGGGTTCCATATGAGGAATATGCCTTTTTCATAATTCAAACTGTCCTTTCCTCTTTGTGGACAATACTTTGTATGCGATGGTCAGTCCCGTGTTTACATTTGAACTTTAACCCGATCTCATTTAATTTGATTCGTTACATTCCCTGTGCGATTTTCTTGGTCATCACAATAATCGGTGCTTCTATTGGTATCCCAGGGACAAAGACCTTTTACCTTGGGTCACTTCTTTGGTGGATATGTCCAGTTCTGTGTTTCCTTTGGTTTGGAGCGGGTAATTATTTTGTCTCCCAATGGAAAACGGTAGCAATTAGTTTAATTGTCCCTTCGATTTATCTCTGTTGGGTTGATACATTTTCCCTTCGTCAAGGAATTTGGCATATTAATACCGCTACATCAATCGAATGGTTCGTTGTACCCGAACTTCCGCTCGAAGAAGCGCTTTTCTTTACCATAGTTAATTTCTTAATTATTTTAGCCAATTGTGCTTTCGATAAAGCCAAATGTACAATTGACCTTTATCCCGATCTATTCCCGACTAGTCCATCGTTAACGTTTTCCAATTTCCCTCAATATTTTAAACAAACTTTTTTCGCATTTGCTGCTTACGAACCAAATTTACCTAAACAACGACTCGAGGACTTAATTGTTTGCTTTAAAGTCCTTAATCATTCATCTAAATCATTTACTGCTGCAGCTTCAACCTTTCATTCAGGTAAGAAAAGTTTTCTCAACAATTAACTGATTCGGTTTTATTACCAACAATCAACGATAACCAACAGCATTTTGTTATCATGGTTTCACTTAGATAATTCAAATGATCATATTATTGTTAGCAATTATTACATGATTATTGATTAGTTGGAGTTAATTACCTTTAATTGGTTAACTCAATCCACACTTAAATTGTTAGTTAAATTATCAATGGTAATTGATTTAAATAATCAATTATATTATCGCGGTTTATTTTCACAATTTCATGTTGAACACTAGTTGATTGTTACAATCAACCAGACAAAGTCAAGTGCAGTTAATCAACTTCACATGTATTAGTTTTAATTTTATAATTCAATTAACTGATCAGATTAATTGTCAGATCTAAAAAAAATGAGACTATCTTAGATTATCATTATAATTAGTGTATCTTGCACTTAATTAAATTGTGTCTTGGAAACAAATTGTTGTCTCTAGAACAGCAATTAAGTATATCAATGAATGGATTAAGTATATATCTCTTTACCTGCAATTGTAAATCAATTAATTGTTAAGCAAGCAGATTAAATTGTTGAGGTAGATAAAAAAAACTTAGACCTTAACGAAAACACTTGAAATTAAAATTAAAATGAATTAAGTGAATGTGATCACAATTTGATTGTATTGTGATCAGTTATTAGAACCGCTTATTAATTTCCTAAGGACAGTTAATCAAGAGACAAGATTAAATTGTAATCTGATCAAAAACCCCATTGAAGGCTTAAACTCAACAATCAAAGTCTCGATAATATCAGTAGAGTTAATTGTTGACAATATTCAAAACTTTCATTGAGTCTTAAGGCACTTAACTACACAAGAATTACATGTGATTATCACTCGAACACTTAATACAATTAACTAATCACAGAGATGGAAAATTAACCTTTAATTTGAGAGCAATTTTCTGATCAATTGATTAACTTTAATTGTTGGTTTTTTATTCTTTTGCTACTCTTTTAGGTATTCGAATTGACTTGAGTATATTATATGGATTTGCTCGAGTTACTGATGATATGATTGATAATTCACAAGGAATTAAAACTCGACGAGAAAAATTATCAATAATTAACAAGTTTCTCGATCAATTATTTGCCGATCGTGGAAATAGAAAGTGGACCTACGATGTACCAACGAAAATGGATCCAAGGAAAAAACCGAAAATCAATTGGAAAGATTTTACTTGTTGTTTATCTAAAGATGAATTGGCCGCTTTTCGAGCGCTAACTCACATTGTCTATTATCTTCCGTCTGAACCTTTCTATGAATTAGCTCGAGGCTATTCTTGGGATATCGAGGATAAAACAGTTGAAACGGAAAGTGATCTTCTCGAGTATTCCTCTTATGTGGCCTCATCTATTGGTATTCTTTGTACATTTGTTATGTGCTACAAAAGCGGAAAATTTCCTAACGGAGTTACCGATGATCACATTGCTATGGTTGAAAGAGCCAAGGAAATGGGACAAGTAAGATTCAATCAATTTATAAATCACAACTAATTCAATTCAATCAATAATAATTCAATTGATTATTCAATTAATTTTGGTTAGGTTTTACAAATTGTTAATATCGCTCGTGATATTGTCACTGATTCCGTTACTTTGGGCCGTTGTTATGTACCAACAAACTACATGGATTGTCCGGAGAAAGAGTTGAAACTTTTAAAGGTTGATCGTAACCCTTGGTCTTTAGGTCAAGATAAACTAAAAGATTACGCACTCAAGATGCTTAATTTAGCCGATGATTATGCGACCACCGCTTTAAATGGTATCCCTTTGTTACCCAATGAGGTCCAGGCTCCTGTTCTTGTGACCACACAAATTTACAGGATGATCGGAGTCCAAATAGCGACACAATCAGGTTACCTTGAGAGAGTTTATGTCTCCAAAGTTAAGAAATTAATTATTGCGTTAACTTGTATGTATGCAAAGTTTATGCATACAAAGAAAACGTTATTGTCTTTACATCAAAAAATAGAATAATAAATTTATCGATTCAATCGAGCACACATAAGATCAGAATTCTCAATCCATTATCCATCTAGTGATGATTACATTCAATTCAGATCAAGTCAGTTTCAGAATCACCAGAACTCATGAGAAATTCATTTGAAAAAAACAAGGAAATTATCTAATTGAAAAAGGAAATACCCAATGATAGTCAAAATCTAATCTCTAATTATGATGAAATGAAATAGTTGACAACGACAATTGGATTAATCTAATGATAATTTACTATATTTGTGACCTTCAGCTTGAGGTCAGTCACTTGAACATCGTCGATATTCACCATCTATAGCATTTTCATTATCACATTTTAGACAATAAACTTTCACCATTTTGTGTTGTGTTGATTTTCAATTGCAAATCAATGAAGATCAAGTTGATCTGATCAATTTTTTCTCGACAAGCAGAATCCTCACAAACTATTGCTCAATGAATTGATCTTTTATATGGTCAAACTGGACAACAGTTATTTTCACCTTGATTAACCCTCGAAGTTTTAATTACAGGAATAACATACAATTGAGCCTAATTCTTGACATTGAGAATTTACAATTTGATTCATCGGAAACTTAATCTATTTACTTATTTTTCTTCATTTAATCAACGGAACAATTAATTAACTATTGGGTATAGAAAAGGTTGATTGAGGTGATAATCATTGACTAAGAAATTATCTCAAGTTAGATTTAAATTTATTCAAAAGAAAACCAAATCAATTTATTTGTAATTTAAATGTTCTGTTTAATCACTACTCGAATAATTAAATTATTATATCTTAATCGAATCAATCAATTAAGCTTAATTTCCTTAAGTTGAACATAAGATTTAAATACAGTTCGCAAACAAAAGTATTTAGTTTAATTTGATAGTAAATCACATTAGCGTTGTGATTATTGTTGATAATCAAAAATTTTGATTGTGATAGTTTTTTAATAATATCGGGTGACCGAAAATGAGTGAGCATCTCAAGAATGGTAGGTCCTAGAATAAAATTTCAAACGCCATTGAAAGCGCCATCGATCAATTATAAATCGTGAATTTTTTCAGAATTTTCGAAGTTCAAGTGCAACTGTGGTTCTTATTTAGGGGCCAAAATCGCGATTTTCTCTATGAGAAATTTATAATGGGAAAGTTAAAGAGCAATTTTCGTTGATTTCGGCCATGTTAGATCTCAATAACCTTACTTCAGATAATGATGAGCTTAGATATATGAGATAATAGGTCAAAAAGAATAACTTTTGACCGAAAATTTTGAGTCCAAAGTCAACCGTTCGCTTTTCAGGCCACTCGATATCTTGAGAACCGTGCGTCCTAGAAAAAGTATTTTGACTCAGCGTCAAATTTACTTTCTTAAAATGTATAGAAACGTGGGTCCAAAACTTAAGGTTCGTGAGATGCTCACTCATTTTCGGTCACCCGATAGTTATAAAAATTGAACAAAAGTCTAATATTCAGTTTCTGAATAATTATCGTTAGTCAAACTAAATTAATAAACTTAATAGTTTAATGTCAAATGCAGTTTAATATCAATAGATTGATAATAATGAGCAGAAAATTTAATCAACTCAATCAGTGAGACTAATTGACAATTTAAATTGATTTGCATGGTAAATAAGTTTTCCTGTTGTGGATTTAAACGCAAGAACTAGATATCGATGGTTCAATTGAATAACTGAATCAACATGGTCTGGACTTACCTTGATGTCCACGTTTATTTTACTTTACCGTTTATTTTGATTGAGTATTTGATTTTACGTCCATTTTTAAATGTCCACGAATTTGTAAAACTATCGTTCATTTCTGCCTGTGCCTCATCTACACGATTCCTTGGGACAATTATATCGTTTATCACGATGCTTGGTCATACCGATTGACCGCGTTCTTGGTGTTATTGGTTGGGTTCCATATGAGGAATATGCCTTTTCATAATCAAACTGTCCTTTCCTCTTTGTGGACAATACTTTGTATGCGATGGTCAGTCCGTGTTTACATTTGAACTTTAACCTGATCTCATTTAATTTGATTCGTTACATTCCCTGTGCGATTTTCTTGGTCATCACAATAATCGGTGCTTCTATTGGTATCCCAGGGACAAAGACCTTTTACCTTGGGTCACTTCTTTGGTGGATATGTCCAGTTCTGTGTTTCCTTTGGTTTGGAGCGGGTAATTATTTTGTCTCCCAATGGAAAACGGTAGCAATTAGTTTAATTGTCCCTTCGATTTATCTCTGTTGGGTTGATACATTTTCCCTTCGTCAAGGAATTTGGCATATTAATACTGCTACATCAATCGAATGGTTCGTTGTACCCGAACTTCCACTCGAAGAAGCGCTTTTCTTTACCATAGTTAATTTCTTAATTATTTTAGCCAATTGTGCTTTCGATAAAGCCAAATGTACAATTGACCTTTATCCCGATCTATTCCCGACTAGTCCATCGTTAACGTTTTCCAATTTCCCTCAATATTTTAAACAAACTTTTTTCGCATTTGCTGCTTACGAACCAAATTTACCTAAACAACGACTCGAGGACTTAATTGTTTGCTTTAAAGTCCTTAATCATTCATCTAAATCATTTACTGCTGCAGCTTCAACCTTTCATTCAGGTAAGCAAAATTTTCTAAGAAAATCAAATCTCTGAAAAGTTCAAACTACAAAACTATTAAAATAAGCCAATTTATGAATTAGAACCAGAACAAAATTAAAATTACATAGCTGATTGTTGTACAATTTATGGACATTATTATCGTACAACATACAAATATTAATAATTTAAAAAGTATTTGCTTTAATACTATTGGAACAATTACTGATTTGCTAATTCAGGTATTCGAATTGACTTGAGTATATTATATGGATTTGCTCGAGTTACTGATGATATGATTGATAATTCACAAGGAATTAAAACTCGACGAGAAAAATTATCAATAATTAACAAGTTTCTCGATCAATTATTTGCCGATCGTGGAAATAGAAAGTGGACCTACGATGTACCAACGAAAATGGATCCAAGGAAAAAACCGAAAATCAATTGGAAAGATTTTACTTGTTGTTTATCTAAAGATGAATTGGCCGCTTTTCGAGCGCTAACTCACATTGTCTATTATCTTCCGTCTGAACCTTTCTATGAATTAGCTCGAGGCTATTCTTGGGATATCGAGGATAAAACAGTTGAAACAGAAAGTGATCTTCTTGAGTATTCCTCTTATGTTGCCTCATCTATTGGTATTCTTTGTACATTTGTTATGTGCTACAAAAGCGGAAAATTTCCTAACGGAGTTACTGATGATCACATTGCTATGGTTGAAAGAGCAAAGGAAATGGGACAAGTAAGATTCAATCAATTAATAAATCACAATTAATTCAATTCAATCAATAATAATTCAATTGATTATTCAATTAATTTGGGTTAGGTTTTACAAATTGTTAATATCGCTCGTGATATTGTCACTGATTCCGTTACTTTGGGCCGTTGTTATGTACCAACAAACTACATGGATTGTCCGGAGAAAGAGTTGAAACTTTTAAAGGTTGATCGTAACCCTTGGTCTTTAGGTCAAGATAAACTAAAAGATTACGCACTCAAGATGCTTAATTTAGCCGATGATTATGCAACCACCGCTTTAAATGGTATCCCATTGTTACCCAATGAGGTCCAGGCTCCCGTTCTTGTGACCACACAAATTTACAGGATGATCGGAGTCCAAATAGCGACACAATCAGGTTACCTTGAGAGAGTTTATGTCTCCAAAGTTAAGAAATTAATTATTGCGTTAACTTGTATGTATGCAAAGTTTATGCATACAAAGAAAACGTTATTGTCTTTACATCAAAAAATAGAATAATAAATTTAACAAACAAATCTAACTTTAAATCACAATAATAATAAAAATTAACTTGATATCTTCAACGATAAAATTATTAAAAATTTTAAATATAACATTGATTTGTCATTATTTTGATGATGATGATAATGATGATGAGCAAGATGACTTAGAGTAGGTGAGTATAAAAATGATTAATTCAATGTTTATCAGATTCTGAAGGTGCATTCCAAATAGCTAATACACTGGTGTATGTACCAAGGAAAAATCCAATCGCTCCGAAGATGAAAATAAGGACTGCTTTTACTTTTATGTAATTCCACTTGAGTTTACTATACGATTCTCGATGCTCCCAGAAAGCAGCGTAATGAATAACCGGTGGAAATAGTACAGCAATTGAAGAACTACAGAAGGCACCAACCAGAGAGATAACAAGGTCAAGATGAGGCACAAATGAAGCTACGAGAACTGAGAGAAAGGAAATTATGATAATAATTTTCGTGTTAAAATATAAAATATCAGTATAAAACTCACATGAAAACATAACTAAAGATCCACGATAAATTACATTAAAAATTTCCATCTTTTGCCATTTCAATGGCAATTTGGACTGAAATGTTGGCCAAAGTATATTGATCGGTACAAACATTTGCAATGGATATGAAAGAAAAACCGAAACAGCAAACATCAAACGTACAATATCATAGATGACTTTGGAGGGAAGATTATTAGTTACGGTGGAGGCGATATTTTCACCAAATTTAAGGTAACCAAAAAATCCTATAATACAATACAACACGGTGACAATTTGCATTCCAATTGATAAAACCCCACAAGGGCCACCAAATTTATCTGCTCGCTTCATGGAATCCTTGATAGGTAAGATCTAAAAAAATGAAATAGAATTAGATAATTCAGAAGTATTAATAAGACTTAAAAATCGTAAAAAGTTTCGAAACTTACAATTGAGATACCTTCGAAGGAGAAAAAAGCAGTTCCACAAAATAATGGAAATGATTCCCAATTCGTATATTTAACGGTAGTTATCGGTGGAAGATCTTGAATTAAATTAGCAAGCACGACAAGAAGTCCAATTCCTTGTAGTAAATTAGCAATTGCTGAAGCAATTGCAAGATATTTAAGTGTTTTAATGCAATTGAGAGCCAACATTAATGGATAACAAG